GGTTTCGTTTCTAACCTTTCCATTGCTCCCAGCTCCCAGTCTTATTCAATGCACAGCACCACCTTGACAGTCATTTTTGTGATTTGATGTACACATACTTTGAAGTTCAAATTCGAATTACATGATCAGATTTTTGTTCCACATTTTCTATTTATTTTTACTTCAAGCACAACCCTACCGATGAAGGGAGAGAAGCAGCAAAGACACCTACTGAGTCTAATAACTGCCACTGTCAGTTCTCAAACAAAAACAAATTTTGTCGAATTGAAAAATCTCACCTGTTAGTGTTGCTCACTAGCCACTAGTGACTAGAGTTGTTCGTCCACGAAATTTGCAATATGCCACTACGGTACCAGCAAGAGTAGGTAAGTTGGCATAGAACAACAGCTATGCAAAGCCATGTTCATCTCCTCTTCACTTTGGAAGGCAGTACAAGCACCCTTCATACCTCGACATTGCCTTGGAGTGGAAGCAAATTCACCATGAGTTTTCCAATTCGCTACGATCGATCTCGGGGTGATGATCGTGTCTTCTTCATCACCACTGCAGCCTGGACAGCCTTCGGGAAGACATGTGTCACTCTCCTGCTCAACAGATTCCTACATCTAGATTTGGTTACCGTCAGGGAACGAAACAGAGCTGCAAAACACCAAAGTAATTGTTTTCTTCCATTCAATTACACTGCTGAACATGCACAGCATGGTGACAGCTAAGCAGTACGCACGTCATCAAGGCCAATTTCCAAATATGGGAGGTGTTATTTATGAAATTTGACACAGTTCCTCTTCTCTGATCGGCTCGAGACATAGCTCATCGGAATCAGTGCCCAATTCTCCTTCGGATAAGCCATACTTATTTTTGGCGTTCAGTTTCCCTTTAAATTATTTTCTGAACTTCACTGAAGCGGCTGTGCTCCTCGCTGGAAACAAACATGTTGGCAACTGAATATGCACGTGCACGTATCTCAACGTTTAGAGCCTTTGCAAATGGTGTCATGATGGCCGGTCGCGTCGGCGGATTGGCTCATGCCCACATTGCATACGTGTACAATCAACTACCTCTGCCATCTCTTGTACAATGAAGCAAGAAGAGCACTGACATACATACATGTACGCAACATGATAATAATAATTTATGTTATAATGTTCATGGACATGCATCGTGCATGTACCCTTCACCACGTAGACTTACCGCCTCACCCTCGCCGCTAGTCGCTGCATCTGCCACCCTGGTACATTATAATACCGGGCATGCATGGCGGTGGCCTGGCACAAGCGAAACTTGCAGATAGGATGCAGACTACTCCCAGTGCATGTGGTGGGGTCCAACGCTACATGTACATGTATGTCGGAATATGTCGCGTTTTACACACGCCTTGGCCAGGGGAATTCGTGGCGGTGCAGTGTTCTCAGCCCGCTGACATAGTCATTGACAACATGTAAGATACGTAACATGAGGTACATTGTAGATCATGTAAACTGTTCATGAGTCATGAACAGCTATCATGCCATGGGCTCGAGCTCTCGGCCTCCCGTACCGTGTGCAGTTTGCGTTGTCAGCTAAAACTAGTGAAAAGGTGCAATCCCTGGCGCGAAGTGTCACCTGGGGACGGTCCCTTGCGACAATTCGACAATCAGGCTAGACATGCACAGTGTCGGTGCAGTGCTAGTAGTGGGCAACACGCACGCCATCGATGCGCACGGATGCCGCGACTCACACTGACAGACGTAGCATGCTACCAAGCACTAGCAGAGCGCAGAAAATCGCACAGCATGCATTTTATCTAAAAAGAATGCTCACTGGACTCAGACACTCTATCCCATGGCCATGGTCTCATAGAGAATGTAGTACAATGATGTTAGTGTCATCGACATACCACTACTGGCAATACTGCACTGCACTAGCGTGGCGTTACTCTTTTCAAACCTCTGATGAGTAAACTAAAAGTATCGTACATGTGAGTCCGCATACACTGTACAATCAAGAGTACATAACCCCCTGGGGGGGGGGGGGGGGGGGGCTAACAATGCATGTACTCTTGATTGTACAGGTACATTGTATTCGGGTTACCACCGGCTACACGAAGTTGTCATCGTCATTGTTTTCTTCTTTTTTTGCTAGCCACGTTTGTTACATGTAATACCAGCCTATGACAAGTACAAAACGTGAAAATTACGGGCAGCCTTTTCTTCCTGAATAGGTGTTGTTTTCAACACGCAAGCGGAAAACCAGGAATACAGAATATCAATGAGAAAGAACGCAAGCAATAACAATTCTAGATGATGCATTGGACAAGGAAAAATTATGTTTTCACTGAGGTCTGTGTGTGCGTGTGTGTGTGTGTGTGTGTGTGTCATTGTGTGTATGTTGCGTGTATGATGTGTGTGTGTGTGTGTGTGTGTGTGTGTGTGTGTGTGTGTGTGTGTGTGTTTGGTGTGTTCATGTATTTTTTAAATTCACTGGGAACAATAAGAATCATTATTGTCTGATCAAGCACTCAGGTGTACTGCTTGAGAATTGAGGCGGTGGTGGCTCGCAGCCATCTCCGGAACACTTGGCTATCCACACCATCTGGACGTGTGCTGGATATCATCTCAGCCACAGCATGCATGGCAGCAACGATCGTCTCAGGCCGCTCCACTCTCTTATAGATGTCTCCATGCCGTTCGCAGCTGAAGCCGGACGAGAAGAAGGCAAACTCGGTGGTGCCCCGGGAGCAGGAATAGACTTTCTGCGTTCCGGACACCATGTGGCCGCACACGAACATTCCGTTGTCGCCCAGGTACGAGGTTCCGCCGCATTTATTAATTGTCCATGTGGAGGGTGAATAGTCACTGTACAGGACACAACACAGGGTGACAGGGCACATCCCTTACTACTACTACTACAACTTACAAGTACTACAAGGACCAAGAAGTAGAGCTTGAAAACTAGTGTTGCTGTTGCTGCTGTTGTCTATTTTTACTTTACTTCACCAAGTGAACAGGCATTTCTGCCTCAGTTCTCGCCAGGCCCGGATACCTACATGTACGTACGGTTGCGCTCACTGAAATCCGATGCAACGTGCAAAGCTGGCGCCCTCAGCTTCCACGGCCCTTGACGCCCTGGAAGTGGAATGAATGCGGCCGGACGTGCACATGTATGCACACAATGATGTAATCGGAACTGGTCCAGGGCGTCAGCTTTGCACTTTGGGTCGGATTTCAGTGAGCGCAACTGTAGTTCCGACAAAATGATGAAGAGTGCATGTACAGTTCGTTGTGACTCTGAGTCTGCGTTTACACGGAGAGGAAATGAAACGAATTGGAACCAAAACGCACTGCCCTGGAATAGCCAAACCATTTACACGAGAACGGCAAATCGTTTTGAACCGCTTACGCGAAAACGGAAACGGCCGATAAGGCTGGAGTTGGGACGGGCTGGCCTGGCGCAAGGGCAGGAAGCAACACACTAGTTGGAGCTGGCTATCTCATGAACGCTGTTAGTGTACGTGGTTTGAATATTTCCCATACCTGCGAAATGGTTTCCATGACCACATTCCGTTTCCAATCGTTTTCACCGTTTACACGAGAGCGAAAACGTTTTGAAAACGTTTCAAAACACTTTGAAGTGCGTTTCAATTCCGTTCCGTTTCGGGTGCGTGTTCCTGCATTGTCATGCAAATGATAGTAGTAAACGCAACGCAATCGTTCGTTTCAGCCGTACCTCGTTGTCGTGTGAACGCAAATCGTTGTCGTGCAAACGAAGCGTGAGCTTCACGCACGAGACGATCATGCAGTAGTAGTAGTAGTAGTAATATTTAACTAGGGAACTCCCAACAGGCATTGCCTTTTTACTGGGAACCCTAGGAATACTTGTATGACAACAGATGACAGAATGAATCATACCTGTACAGCCATGTAGGATCTCGGGATACTGGTATACATAGGATTCATTGGATACTCGGATGGAGAGCCAAAGGTTTAATTTATAGAAGAAGAGAAAATGGACCAAGGAGCTACAAGTGACGCTATAATGTCCACTATTATTATTTGAAACTCGGATGTTGAGCCATAAATAAATGTAGAAGAGAAAAGGACATATGGATACGAGTTAAGAGTAACTCTCCGTCACTGTAACTGGATACTTTATACAGTCAGAAAGTGCAATAACTAGGCACACAACTGACAGAGTACTGAGACATTCGACGTCCTGACACCTAGCTTCAACACATCTCCGTAGCGCTAACCGACAGCCTTCCAACTTGGAAGGTTCAAAGTTATGGAAAGACCAAAGAGGGGAAGGCAAGCGCAACGAAAACGAGCAAAAGCTACAGTCCCAACGGAACAAAGAATGTCGATTGTTACTGGACGATGACGAGACCAGTACGATATTTGACAAAGCGGTCTAACTACAATTCGAAGCAGCAAAGCAGCACACCACCCAACTTGGGTGGGTCATAAAATTATTTTTAATATCAAAGATAAGTATTAAAAGAAAGGGGAAGCTTTGCGAAAACGAATTGTACAAGCCGAAATGTGTTGAAGCTAGGTGTCAGGACGTCGAATGTCTCAGTACTCTGTCAGTTTTGTGCCTAGTTGTTGGACTTTCTGACTGTATATAGTATCTAGTTACTGTGGTGGAGAGTTACTCTTAACTCGTATCCATATGTCTTTTTCTTTCTACTATTATTATTAAATTTTTGACAGGGCAATCCCCACAGGCCTAAGGCCTTCTTACAGGGTACCCTAAATGTGCCAATCCAAGGTTACGGAAGCGAGAAACAGATGTGCATAGGCGAATGTCAGCAGATAGAGAGTTCCAACGATCTGAGCCTAGAAAACTAAGAGAAAAAAACCCATACCGATTTGAAGCAGGGGGAAGAGTAAGGGATGCAGAAACTTGAGAGCGTGTACAGGAGTTTGTATGTGACGATGCGCTGCGCAACGAAAAACAACTAGAGAGTAGGGGACTAACACCAGCAGATACTGTTGCTCAATGAAATCCGAGAATGCTGGAGCCAAGTACAGCGAAACCTGTGTGAGACGACCGCTCAAGGGACCTGCAAAATGTGGTCTCTGTTCCCGGGTGGTCTGCTTATCCAGGGTCGTTTGGCTGCAAATAGCATCCCTTTGTCCTATCCTGGTTACAGTGGTCTTCTGAGGCAGGTGGTCGCCTTGACAGGTTTTACTGTACGTACCTGTGGCGGGCGGGGGGGGGGGGGTGAGCAGCCCTATAGGCCTAGGCTCTGCGAACACTGGGATGCGAACTGGGGCAGGACGTAAACTAGACTCATCCCGTCGGTTTTCATGGAACAGCACTGTACATGTTCAAGAAACTCTGGCGGTCAGGAAGAACAGTTTTGGCCAGTTCTAAGGAATCATTCACTTACTAATCATAACAGTCTTCCACGGGACAGATGCTGATCCACTTGTAATAGGTTGGCATGGCTGATGGGGTTGCTCCACGAAGACAACCTATTGATATCACCTGCCCTTTGCGATCTTCTAGGCGTCTTTTACCGTCTGGCTTTGCAGTCTGGTCCCCGTGGATTTAGAGTGTAAGTGGCAAACAGATACTGCAAGTACCTGCTGGGATGTTTGTCTTGGTCTGGACAGCAGTACGTACGAGTAGCAACGATCCACCGTCACTACATGTACACTACAGAAGCAGAGAGAGAAATGAGAAGTAGAACTGCCGCTCGCATGGAACCATAACTTATATACCCGTCCACATCCGGAGGCGGTACTGTAGCGCATGTTGTTGCTTGTTCTGATCTCGGTAGAGGCGCTTGCCTATGCATGTAACTTTTGTTCAGCGGCTGCGACCAAACAACCACGCGGTCGCAGAAACATCGTAGCTTGCTGATCAGCGTTTCGCTTTCATGCACCCTTTCGACCCGACCAGACCGGTGACCTGGTGACGGAGAATAATTAATTTTTATTTTCCCTCAGAGCTGCGCTTACTCATGAATAATCCCTTGCCCGCTCGTAAACGGTAAAGACAAGTAGCCATACCCAGTGAGCTGGCGGGGGGGGGGGGATGAAGCGTAGGAATTGAATCCCGGAAGAGCAGCTAGTGCTTGCTTGCCTATGCGCGCTTTACCTATTAGTCATTCAATCATTATCTAAACCTCAGTGCAACTGAACACTTACATGATTGTACTGTACAGTCATGTAGATAATTATAGAGCCGCAACGCAACTCGTCATTGAACTGAAACTCGACAGGCTACTACTACTAATTGTCTATGGATGATGACGCTAGCGGAATCGTGCTGTAGATCTGGAGAAGCGAGCCTGTAATCCTTGTTGTGCACGGACCGCTCTCACTCGCAGTTCGCAAAGGCAGCGCCATGGCATGCCATTGCATGGGGCATTTCCCACTGCCATTGGCACGAATGCGTGCAAGGAGAGCGCTATTTTTACTGTTCCGTATTCATTCTCCCGTTCTGCCAGGTACATGTATGCACCCAAGCAATCCGCACATGATCCGCACCTGATCCGTAGCATGCAGTAATCATGTCCATAAGTTCTACGTGTATTTCGAGTACAATCATAATATTATTATGGACTCTAGCAATCATTACTACAGTTGCAGATACGACTACGAGTACAGATCAGCAGTAGATGAACACGTAGAAAGCGCGTCAGGGTGAAACTTTCGCCTTCTTTCAAACTACATGACTGTACTGTCACACGATAAATTTCTGGACACATTGGGGAAAGCCCCATGGACGCCAATCATCATCTCACCAAGTGACGTGCCTGAATCGGGGAAACCCCATTGCCAGCCAGTACCAGAACACCTTCTCGTGCACGTACACCATGTACACGGACATGTACAAGTCCACATCACGCACATGCACAATACAGCCATGGTGTTAGAACTGATAAACCTTGTTTTGCTGAAACACGACTGACAGTGCAACAACAAGAAGTCTAAGGCAACTCCCTACAATGCAGAGCCTGAGAGTCAGAAGACTCAGAACCGGGTCTAACAGCCAATAGTGGCCAAGTCTTGGAGTCATTCCCAGTTGTAGTCAGACGATTCTTACAACGACTGTTATGTGAACAGCTTCCTCGGACACAAGAATGCGATACAACTGAGAAGAAGGCCACACTTCAGGCTCTTGAACAACATCTCGAAGGTTTTCACTAGTAGTAGTATAATTTGAAGTACTTTCAACTTTTCAAGCCTCACCGCCAGGTGAAACACAGACAAAACTAAACGCACAAGAAGAGTGGAGAGGTGATAGAAACAGCGCAAGGAAGAAGAGCTAAAACAGCAGCCAGTTGCCTGGTGATCGTAAAACTCAGAGTTGCGACACAGCTTCCAATCTCTCTTGTGTAAAACAACAGCCATGAATGCGTGACCGGTCGACCCAGGGACACAGAAAGAAATGGGGGAAAGGTGCTCGGTCGGCGAGACATTCAACATACTCTTGCAAAACTTGAAAACTAAACTCTTACACATGCATTATCAAGAGTCCATAGCTCTGGTAAAATGCACAAGCCTGATTGACTGGGCACTCGTGCTGGTGCTGTTTTCATGCATCTGGTGAAAACGATCTGGGCATAGCTGGTTAAAAAAAACTCACGGTTCGCGTGAGACTCGGCCAGTGATTCAAGTAGGGAACGAGTTTTCCACAGCCGCAGGAGCGCCGCCATCCTCATGCATCAAGGCACAGGTGCGGCTCTTTAAAGCGGTCACCGGTGGGAGGTGTGTAGATCACTGAGACCCACCGCCCCGTCCTCTTCTTTCCTCATTGTTCACCCTCCAGTCGGCTGCTACTTGCACCGAGAGGCGCACTAGAGGGCAGTCTTTCTCATCACTTTCTTTGCCCACTGCTAAAACTAAGGTACATGTATGGCATGGTCATGGCAGACTCAGCGGAGGACACTCAGGTTGGTTGTAACTCTGTGTTTCATAATAATAATAATAAAAAAATAATTTGAAACTAGGACGGAGGCAGAAAATATTACAAAAAATGTATTGTCTACGCATGCATCTACGCAAGAATCACCACCAGCCAATTAGGAATTTAGGACATGTGTCAAAAAAAAGGTATTGAATGTTTTCGTTCCGTTCTTCTCAAAATACTACAGGGAATGATGGAAATAGGCTAAGAGACTACAGCTACAAGGAAAAGAAGTTGTTCAGAGATACATCACTCCAATTATGTGTAGAAGTTTTGGAGACTCCACTGTAGCCAATACTTGAATCCATACATCCTGTACACACACCTTGTACACACTCTCTCTAACTTCCTGATGATGGGCCTTGCCCGAAAATTTGATCTAATGTACAGTCGTCCCTCTCTAATCCGGCACTTTATAATCCAGCACCCTCGATAAACCAGCACAATTTTCAGTAGCCAAAATGTCTTCTTCATGTACATTGCAGCAGTAAATCAGATTTGTTAATCCAGCACCCTCCCTAATCCAGCAGATTTTCGTGGCACAAATGGTGCCGGATTATAGAGGGACCACTGTATATCAATTGCAGTGTAGCCTAGAGACCGTTAGTGAGAGTGTGTACAAGGTGTGTGTACAGGATGTATGGATATGTGTAGAAGTGACACGAAAAAGAATAGATGTGAAGAGTCAAGAAAACAGCATGCAAATCCAATAAGTGACAAAACCGTATTGACAAGAAAAAGAGAGAAAATATCAAGAGATCATGGGATCTATTTCGCACCTTCACGACGAACAGTGCCAAACAACTGCATTCTCCTTCTGAACACAAAGCTGTAGTTGTAGTCTCCTAGCTTATTTCCATCATTCCCTGTAGAATTTTTGAGAAGAAGGGAATGAAAACGTTCAATACTTGTTTTGACACAAGTCCTAATTGGTTGGTGGTGATTCTTGCGTAGATGCATGCGTAGACAATACATTCTCTGTAGTAATAATAATAGTTACAGTTCGAATGTCACTCATGGAAGGATCCATGGGCTTAACGCATCTGTCAATGAAATCCAGGCAGAAGAGCCAACAAAAGGCAGCTCAATATTGTTTGAACGTATCGCAGTAAGAACCAGTTTCATGCCGCTAGGCAATCATCAGACAACTCAACTCAACTCAGTTGTCTGATGATTGCCTAGCGGCATGAAACTCAGAGTTACAACCAACCTGAGCGTTCTCGGCTGAGTCTGCTATGTACTAAGCTCTGTCTCTGACATTGAGCACTCTCTGCAGCTCGGGAATCAACGGATTTGTATCGCATGTTCTCTATTTCTATCATTGGCGCTGATGGATGAAATTCTCTGCCTGTCGCTTGTGGTCAAGTTGCACATCTATCCGCTTTTGTTTCGCTCTGCAAAAAGCACTTAAGGTTCCCTGTAACAAAGACAGCAACGCCTGTAGGGCCTTCCCTATCAAAATAAATCGCCGCAATTGACCCAGAATTAGGAATTTTTTAATTCGTTGAGGTTTACTGGTACATGTAGAAATGCAAATGTTCAAGATGTATCCATCAGATTAAACTGCTGAAGGCCCCAATGCATATTCAAAATGCGCTTAACTGGTTTAACTCCTCTTCGTCAAGTCGTAATAAACTAAAATTCCCTATTTCAAGAAATAACTCAATGAGTCGCTCGCCTGTTTTCATTAGCTATTGTCTCTGGGACTCGCTTCCCCAAAAAATGCAATCATGTGAAAACATTTCTGCCTTTGTTCGTGATCTCTCGGACCATTTCCCGTAAACCTAATAATACAACTCGATTTGCAGCCCAATCTCTTCTTTTATTGTTGTTCTGATTTGCACTTGTTTTTCTTACTTCTTCTTTTTTTCTTCTTTTTTTGCCATGGCTGGCTATAATCGCCTTCGCCTCCTCCTTGATTGGCCTTGATGAGTGTGTGCGTGATAATTCCTTAATTTAACCTTTATCATCCCGACTCATCAAGGGATTGTCCGGTCATTACGAAATATTCCACACAAGTGTGTTTTGTTTGTGTTACCTACGTGTCGAAATAATAATTATTGTTAAATTCGGACAAAAGCTAACTTAGAGCTAAGAGGTATTCTCAGCTAACCATGCTTAACCATACTTATGCAATCAACGGAATTCCGCCTCCTTGCAGTTGATTTTCCCCGTTTCTCTCCTCATCAATCCCTACTTGTCTACAAATGCTGTATGCACTGCTCTTTGCGTTATTTTCTCCCTATGCAAGTCGCAACTCCTGTTTTGAGTTGTTTTTCTTCTCTTTTGCTTTCCCTACTAGTTGCTGCTACACTCACTGATCCTTATGCACAGATATACAGCATTCCCTCACTAGTGGGACCATTGTTATTAGGCTAGGGCCTGTTTTGGACTTCCCACTCTAAATAAAGAATACAAACAAACAAACAAAACGTCAAGCTAGAGTGTGTAGGTCCATTCTAAAGTCTAGTAACACAGCCTTTGATAAATTTGAAACTAAAGAAAATCTAAAATTAATCAGCTATGCCATATTCAATCCCTTCACTTTAGATGTCAGTTTCTTTCACTGGTCACCCTCTTTAAATACATCCATTCGCACCCTAATTACTAGTAATTACCTCGCAATGTTCCACATTACCGTTACTAAACATGAGCGCCGTCCGAACAAACTAGTCTTCCATAGTCATGGCCGCATACTATCTTCTATGTTTCTGTTTCAGGCAGGCACTCTGTGGAACTGTCTGCCCCCCTACTATAACCCCCATCATAAATATTGGTGAGTTTGAAAGAGCACTGCATAATAGTATGGCTAAGTTTCAATTTAACTGTAAAGGTATTCACTAGGCTCCGGCGGATTATGCTCGCGAAATCAAGGAATTATGCTTTCATGGATTCTCGCATTACGCTCGTAAAATCCTCATATTATGCTTTGGCACCCGGGGATATATTTTATGCACTTTGTTGTACGTATGGAGCCTCAAAGTTCGGGAAATTGTGCCTTTTTCGTACTTGCAAGTTGCTAGTGGCCATGCGTACAACAAAATACATGTACATGAGTATCCCCATACCAAGGTGTCCATGCATGTAAGAGGTCAACATGGAAAAGAGAAAACAATACTTATTCTATTCATTACTTGATTTCTTTTGTACTTCAGTAAAAATATTATTTCAGTGCCAAATGTTACCTTTGAAAATAGTCATGTTCAACTGTCTTCGTAATCATCATACTAGTCCAACCGATGTCACCCTGGGCCTCACCCTGCGAATAATCAGCTCATCTCTCCCGTACTGCGGCGCCACTTCTCCTTCCATCATGACCGAACATCAACTATACATCAATTTAGAGCAATATCCATAGCCTGCAGTCATATCATGGCTGCTAAAATCCAGACTGGTCATGACTTCGTAACATCCATAATGTACAAATGCAATGTACATGTACACGGAGTTATGCGGACTACCCGTCACTATCTCGTCCGCCCCGGGATACCTGATGAAGGCTGATTCACTCGCATCTTCTTCTACATGTACTGTGTCAGTGTGAGAAAGAACTTTGAAGAAGACGAGTTCGAGCATAGAATAATGTGTTGCCATGATTCTACCTTGCTTTTCATTGAAAACACTATCTGCATGACCTCCGAACCCTTTGCCATTTTTTGTATTTGTATTTTATTATATTCCCAAAGGCGTTGGGCCTGTCGAGGGGATCTCCTGCAAGAAGAATGAAACGACAACTTTATGTAGAGGGAGCAGTTAATCGAGGATAGGCTAAGGAAATGGATCGAGGCATACAAAATCTGGTAATTAAGGAGTTGGGATACCGTCAGTGTAATGAATATATCGGCGAAAATGCTGATCGAGAGAATGCTTGAATTCGGGGAGGCTGGTTATAGAGGTAAGAGAAGGCGGTAGGCAATTCCATACCATTGCAGCTTTGTTGGAAAAGAGGGAAGAAAAACGCACACCGTGATAATTGATGTTAAGTTTGTTTGGTCTTCTTGGACTTGAGAACAGTGAAAGGTGAAAATGTTGGAGGTGTTCTGGAGATATATGCATAATCATAAGTTTAAATAGAGTAACAAGAGCTGATACTTGTCTGCGAAAGTGCAAGGACTCTAAGTCACAAAGGGCATTTTAACTGGGATTTCGTTTCGCATCTATCTACATTGACTTTTTACGTAGCAAATACTTCCTAGCTACTCTGGCTTGTAAAATATTTGAACGCTCCAGCTCAGCTTTGGTGATGGCATAGGATCAGGCCGAGGAGGCGTGTTCCCAGGGCGGGTCGGACAAAACCTTTTATTTATATAGAAGTAGAAAGGCTGCGGGGGCAAGATGCCGTCCCATGAAGCATAGCAGATTAACACGACGTTGGAAGGTTTTCAGGATGGTCTGAAGGTGGATGCAGACCACTAGCACTGATCAGGTGAATTGTACACAATTATATAGCCTACATACTAGAACTGTGGTATAATCATGTAGTTATGCTCCTACCTCCGAGAGGATGCCAAATTATGCCGGCATAATCCGCCGGTGCCTAGTATTCACTGATATTCCTTGTTTTCCTCATTGATTTCCTCACTCCCAGTTGTCCTATTCGTCGTGTTATTTCTCCTTCTCTGCTCACTTTGTATTCCCATATTCTCATCCGAACTGTACAAAATGGAGACCCCTCGATAGGCCTAAACGGCCTCTGGGGAATCCTTGAAATAAATTAAACAATACAGTCATTATAATACAAGGTGGTGTACTTAGCTGAGCGGGCGAGTGCATTCAAAACGTAACAGCAATTAGCCACGGAATGTGTTTGTGGAACAGGAAACCTAATTTATAGTTGTCGTCACATGTTATTGTTGAAAGCTTCTGGCCCTGCTGCTTCCGGCCCTCCTGCTTATCTTTGGCTGAGATTACGTAGAAATGACGTCCATGCACCATGATGTCTCTTCAGGCGATAGATATGAAAATCAGATGTTTCTACGAAGCAAACCTTCCAAAATTGGGTATGTTTTGGTAGCCATGTTGTCCTGCAGACCCAATATTGTTCTGGGTTCAAATAGGAACAATCGTGAAAACTGAAAATGGATCGCTATGACGACTTGTTTGGCCACTAACATCCATTTCCTTATTATTGTTCCCATGCATGCTAGATGCTGGGAGAAAGGAAGTACGAGAGCTGGGAGGCAAGCGCTGGCTGTGTCTGCGTGCGCGTATGAATGTGCCACACATGCACAAAAGGATCCACATTACCTTTGTAGGCATTGGCGGATATAATGTGGCAGATTCTGCTCGAAAAGCAGTGAAATTGGCAGAACCATACAAACCTTATGGCGGGCAATTCCTCGAATTCTGCTCCATTTCTTTATCCACATACCAAACATGCATGAAACTTACCAGAAAAAGTACCGAATTCTGCCAATTTTTCTGCCGGCATTATCCGCAAAGGCCTCATCTACATGATTGTCTAGTAAAATACAAAACAGTTTAGAAAAAGTGAAGACTGGAACTGGATGGAGCCAGCCATTTGTGAGGAGCCGTACTCTATAGATCTAGTTTTAGTAGTCTTAGCGCGAGCTCCAGTGTGGGAACAAACCCATTCCTAGTAGTAGTCTTGATTGTACAATAGTCGATACATATGATCGATTGTCGTGCCATGCCGCCTAGTTCCCTTATTTAGAAAACCAGAAAGTGTATTTTGCTTGGAGGTGGCTCCTTTGTAAAATTCTTTGTTGTCATATGCATGATGACTCTTGGCTGCCAACTAATTACTTGTCAATACATGCACATATCATCATAATGTAGTAAGAATGATGATGTAGTGTGTACAGGCTGATGGCGCAAATATAGAAAGTGCATGACTATACAGCATTGGGTAGATACCCGGTAGTGTATTTAGATGCATGACACTTGTTGTAGTATGGAAGAGAGCTATATATAGCGCTAGAGGATCCAAGTGGGGAAATGTTTCGAAATCTCCAAGTACAACTAACTGTACATACGTGTCGTGATCAGGCACACGATCAAGTCGTGGTCGACAAACGATTTCCTGATCGGTGAGTACGATCCACGAGCTCGTAGGTAGATTACGACTCGTAGATCCACTTGTATCACTTTCACATTTTGTTGGTTTTCACGTCGATCGTCGATTGTGTACGATGCTACTGCTGTAGTACCAGACTCAGTCCAGAGTCTCCGCGTTCGGCGCTTTGTCCATGCCCTAATCAGCAAGACTTTCAGAGTTCAGTGTGTATACTTCCTGCAAACTGCCCAGATTCGGCGAACCGGTCCAGATTTGGCGTTAGGCTCCTCCTGGGCATGGGGGAACACTTTTGCTTGATTTGTCGAAGAACGCAAGCATTTCCGGTCCAGTATAGTATAGTACTGCGGCAAAGCAGCGAATTGTTTTGAAGAGACTAGACTGAGCGAAACGATGAGCAACGTTCAGGTGGTAGGACCAGTTGCAGTTTGCTGGGCAGTAGATGTCTACGAGTTGGTGCAGGCGACATTCAGCAGACTTCTGTCCGAGTGCTGTCGCTAACACGCCGAGTGGGAAAACTCGTACTCTCTGTGAGCCTCGCTTGCCTTTCGGCTAACAGCGGTGTATACTAGTGGCGCAAAGCCTAAAGCAGTAAAGGGACGGCAAGCGACATTTGCACAATTCTGAGTTGAGCGAGCAGGACCTATTGTGAACTAGTTACTTGGAGGTACAGATAGCAGAGTGAGGCTTGCAGCTGAGGGGATTCTCTGTACTGGCCAATAGTATTAGTATCGGTGTTTCCGAAACGGATGCAGCTGAGCTCGGTGAGTAAATCAACATAATAATTATACTGACAATACAAGACAGTCAGACCTCGCTTAACCGCACACTTCCGTATTCCACAAAATTATCCGGATAGACGAGGGAACCGGATTATCGAACACACATACAGTATGTATGCATGGCATATGCTGTAAATCCGTAACCAACGATTTTCTTCCGGATGTCGAGGGATCCGGATAAAAGAGGACCGGATAAGTGAGGTCTGATCAGTGTACATGCCAACAAGAATAGATAAACAAGAGTGTGCAACTCCGCATCTCTTCTGCACAATCTGCCGATACGCTGGCCCACGGCGGAAATTTTGTGTTGACGTCACCTTTTTCAGAAGCACGTGCATTTTGCCGCAGAGCAGTGGAGAGCACGTGCTGGGGGCACTGACCTCGTAACGTAAAGCCCGGCCAAGTGCACCGGGCAGCACTTCCCAAACGACTCGCAGCGCGTGCGTCGTAGAAAAGATGACGTCAACAACAATTCCCGCCGTGGGCCAACCCATCCGGGAGTTGCACACTCTTGTCTATCTACTCTTGGTGCCAATAGTGAAGTGAAGTGCAAAATCAGTATGACGTTCTGCACTGATATCCCTTGAAAATAAAATAGTTCATGCAGGGAAGCCTTCAGTACATGTACAGTAGTGTCCGGCGCCGAAGACCTGGGGAGGGGGGGGGGGGGGGGCAGGGTTAGGCACTGGCGGGTTATGCTCGAAAAGGTGGCAGATTCTGCTCGAAAAGCAGTGAAATTGGCAGAGCCATACAAACCTTATGGCGGGCAATTCCTCGAATTCTGCTCCATTTCTTTATCCACATACCAAACATGCATGAAACTTACCAGAAAAAGTACCGAATTCTGCCAACTTTTCTGCCGGCATTATCCGCCGGTGCCTTGTCAGGGTTCTAGCCTAGCCCGTTCCTGTTTTTAGTGAACACGGCAGTTTCGTTCTCCTTCGATGGTACAGTTTTACATGTGCATGTATGCAGAGAGTTATACGTCTGAGTGTACATCATCGTGTACATTATGGTTTGCGTTCTTATCTACAAAAAAAAACAGCCTACACCGTTCTTAAGAATTGGTGAAACTCTAGCCTGGCCATTCTTCGGCGGTCCGTTCTTCGGCGTCCAACATACTCGGCGACTGTCCTGTGGAGGTTTTGCAATTGCATCATCAGTTGAGATGCTTTGTTTGTGCGAAGAATACATCATCAGGTTTAACCTCTTTAGCACGACGCTACCTGAACGCGCCCCACGTCAACACCTGTAAAAGCGGCATTTTCCCATGAAAGTACTAGCTTTTCAAGGATCGATAACTTACCTTCCCTTGGACGAATTCCACCATCTTGAGCTGCCTGGAAAGGTCTTGAGACGAGGGACAAACTGGTGTCAAACCCAGCTCGGAGCGAAACCAAAACCCGTGCTACAGTCTGGCAACCTTCATCCACACTCTCGACAGACTTGAGCACGGACAAGGCCAACTGAGCTCAAATATTCAGCTGCCATTTCAGTCTCCTTGCTCGTATCGAGCTCAAATGTTTTGTGAGAACTCACGGGATCCACCACCATCATTTGAATCCTGTTTCCATGGCAGCAGGTAGCGCAAAATGATCCAAAATGGAAATACGCGTTCTGCAAACTGCGCAAAAATCGAGTTGAAATTTGCTGTGTCGAGTCGCTTATCTCAACAACCGGTAGTCGTATCGCTTCGGCGATTGTTTTGATCGCCAGCTGAGAGTTTTCTCTTGCGGATACATGTTTGTGAGAATCGACCTAGTATTGAGCGAGTTACGATAGTTTGAACAAGTCACTATGGACTCAACACGGACCCCACGACTGAGATGCAGGTTCACTGTACAGTGTACAGCGCGCGCGTCGTACTAGTACGACGGCCGTGGGGCACGCAACTCATGCGCGTCGTACTAGTACGACGCTCGCGCTAAAGAGGTTAAAGGATGCTTTTGTATGGAGTGGCAAAGTTGTGGCGCAGCGATGCGCACTTGACCTCGAACAGAGTACATGTGCCTCGGCTATTAAGTGCCATCTATATTGTATGCCCCTCCGAGGTATGTTAAAACGGTGTTTTAATTTGCTTCTCCTTGCTTTAGGTGTAGATATAGTTTGTTCATGGATCGTGCGCAAGCGTTTCCAGTCAGTCGACCTCGGATTAGGCTTTGTCATAGAAATGCTCGGACAAGCAGAGAAATTGGCACAACCATACAAAAGCTTATGGCTGGCGACTCCACGAAATCGGCGCCTTTTCTTTTCTCTTTTTTTCCTCTTTATCCGCATACCGAGCATGCATGGATAGTACCAGAAAAAGTACCAAAAACTGACGATTTACCTGAGGATTACCTCAGATCATTGTTCAACGGTACAGGTCTGTGAAAGTACCCTTGTTGTACATGTGGCTGCGCTTGTGTCTCTTCGTTGTACATGCGGTTGCACGTGTAGCTCTTTGTCGTACATGTGGCTACTTTTGTGTCTCTTTGTTGTACATGCTGCTGCGCTGTTTTTGACTCCTGCGTACATGCGGCTGCACCGTCTTCTGTCCCCGTTGGTACACACTTGCTCGTCTTGTCCCCGTTGTACGCCTAGGACTAGCACAAATTGTTAGAGAGCTTTTCTTCTACTTCATTTCAGTAGGCGACTGGGGAACTCATAAAGAAGAACCAACACTGACAACGAACGACTGACGACTGACACTGAGACAAGACAACAGAATATATTAGATTGAAGGCGTACAACGGGGACAAGACGAGCAAGTGTGTACCAACGGGGACAGAAGACGGTGTAGCCGCATGTACGCAGGAGTCAAAAACAGCGCAGCAGCATGTACAACAAAGAGACACAAAAGTAGCCACATGTACGACAAAGAGCTACACGTGCAACCGCATGTACAACGAAGAGACACAAGCGCAGCCACATGTACAACACCCTGGATTTTTTAAACATACCCTGGATACAACATACCCTGGATTTTACATAGTCATACCCTGGATTTTAAAACATACCCTGGATATAAGAGTCCCCTGATGATTGCTTTGCAGCATGAAACTCGTGAGTAGAGACTTTTAATCGCTTTCTGTTCCACCGGGTTTTCGTTTGTACCCTGGATTTCATGAACCCTGGATATAACTAACCCTGGGTGCTACAGACTCTGGGTGTTACATGCCCTGGATAAAACAAATCTTGGATAAGCACACTGTGACTGAATCTCAGCCATTCCGTTCCCCGGGACGCAGGATACAAAGGACACGACTTGTTTGTTACATTATTTATATTGATATGACGGAAAAGCAGACTCCACCGTACACTGAAAGGGAGTGACAAAAGGACTCTCGACTACCAAATCGCGCATGCTCATATCACACATGCACGCGACTAGACGAGACAGTTTGGGGAATGCCATCACCCAGGAAAACAACACATCAGTTCACAACAACACCCTGGATAAAACGCCCCTGCATTTACCATACCACTGGATATACAGTCAACTTCGCTAATAACGACTGCGGATATAACGACAATTCGCGAATAACGACATAATTTTCATGCCCAGAGCAAAGTCCCATCCAACAGTGACACATATCATGAGACATCGGCTATAACGACACTTCGCGAATAAGGACACTTTTCTGATGCCCCGCCGAGTGTCGTTATAAGCCAAGTTGACTGTACCCTACCCTGGATCTCGGGACATGAAAATCAGGAATTTATTCAAAAGAGGCTTCTGCACGAGACAGGCTTTAATGCAAAACACTATGGTATCTTTTTTTGTTTTCCTCTCGTCTGGAAGAATTATATGCTATGTCCCGAGATCCAGGGTAGGGTACTTATAGAACTGGACATGCTACCAGAAGATGGAGCAGGAGCGGATACCATGGCTGCGCATCCCACACTGGTGCCACCAGCAACACTCTGCACCCCGGGGACTGGCGCACTTTGTGCAGAACCCTCGGCAAGAGAGCAAAGGGTGGAAACGCATACAGGCATTGATCGGCCCATGATATGGCAAGAGCATCCACATCCAGTGCTCCGGGTTGAGGCCCCCAGGACACAAAGCTGATACACGGCCGGCACACAAGCCTGGTTTTAGTAGTGACCTACCGGTGCATAGAATACCTGTCTCAAGTTTTTCCGCGCCAATCGAAAATTTTCATTTACAGCACAGTGCAAGTCATCCTTCTTTTAAAAGTCTGAATCTCGGATCGCTACCATAATTATTTCATCGTGAATTGGTCCAGATTCAGAAAACGCTAAAATGTTTACCCGCTAAAATTAGCCTTTCCAAATTACAGTGCTTGTGAACGTACAGTGATGACAACTGAAATCCGACCCCCCCCCCCCCCCCCCCTGAGCGGTGTGCGCTCACATCGCAAAGAACCAACACGGGATGGTAAAACTAGCAAACAGAGACCGCTAGAATGTGAACGCACCGCTCAGGGGGTCGGATTTCAGTTGCCGGCACTGTACATACACGCGTACAGTGTAGGGGATGTGCCATGAAACCTGTACTTCACACTTTGCGGCATACAGTCAGACCTCGCATAACCGCACACATCCGGTTTTCCACAAGAATATCCGGATAGGCGAGGGAACCGGATAATCGAACACACATACTCTACGTAAGCATGGCATATGCTGTAAATTGGTAACCAACGATTTTCTTCCGGATGGCGAGGGATCCGGATAAACGAGGACCGGATAAGCGACGTCTGACTGTACTGTAAAAGCCATTTATATAAGTGCAAACTCTAACGAGTTAACGAGGAGAAATCTGTCGTTAAAATAGAAATCGTTATACAGAAATAGATACATATACTGTCCTATTGAGCGTTGAGAATGAGTGAGAATCGTTGCCTTTGGCACACGTAAAACTAGTCAATTTTGGGAAATCGTTATTATATGCGCCTCGTTAGAATAATGGCTTTTACAGTAGGTGCTGAGTATCCGAGGTCACATGATCAGTATAGCAGTGCAGTGCAGGGTGATCTGAACATGTAGATTTGTTACGTTAATTTAAGCAGACCGCGTTTATCGCCAGCAACCACGCACACTGCCAGTGTGCATTCAGAGGCTTCTGGCGATGGCAAGGCATTTTTTATTTTTATTTTTTTTACATGCAGGCAGGCAGGCATAGTGGGATGGTCCAAGACTATGATTGAGAAGCAGAGGGTACCAGGTTCAAGTCTTGCTTGGAAGCGGAAGGATTTTTTCCAGCCGTGCTGCAATGGAAACTCGTGGCCTGGCACGAGGGAAACATGGATGCAGTGAATGGGATTTTCGGTCTTTGACCACTTTGTGGTGGGTCTGATCTACTCACCTCCCACCGCTTAAGAGCTGCATCTGTGCCTTGATCCAAGAGGGTGGTAGAGTTCCTGCGGATGCGGAAAACTCGGCCTCTGGCCGAGTCTCACGCGAACCATGAATTTTTTACAAAGATCACATCTCTCAGGCAAAGGCAAAAAAATATAAAAAATGCATAAGTAATAGGAGCGTAGTGATGGTGAAGTTTGCTCGGTGAATAAGAATGTCCCGGTTTTTTGGCAGCCAGACGTGGCAAGGAAGGCGTCGCGTATGGCATACACACGTACACGCACACAAACACTCTAAAACTACAACATGTTGCGGTACATATATGGAGGGATGCACGTACATGACATGTATATCATATGGCCATTACGTTGAGCCCGGTTATGGGAACTGCCGAGAGTGCTAGGCATGCTAACATTTTAGAGTTGAGGTAGAATGGTGCCGTCATGTGACTACATTTGACTATAATTAGCAGGGTTCTAGCCAGGTCAAAATAGTAGGAGGGGGCAGGGGAAACAGTTAGAGTAGAACCCGGGCTAAGGGTCCACCTAACTCTGCGCGGACATAGCTGGACTCAGTAGTACAGGGCTGGGCAAAAAGGTGTGCAAAACGACTTCTTGTGAGAAAATGGACCCTGGAAAAATAGTTTGGAGCGAAAAAAGTTACGGCTTCCTCGGAAACCGACGGGGGACCGGGACCCCCCCCCCCCTTGGGCCGGAAATTAAATCCCGGTATAAGGATCACCCGCACAATGTACATGCCAAGTGACCCCCCCCCCCCCCGGGCTCCGATCCCTAATCCGGTGTGACCCTTAACCCGGGTTCTACTCTACCCATTTTTCCATTTTCAAAATAACTGTCTTGCAATGCAAAATGCAACATACGGGGCACACACCTGACATCACCCCATTGTTTTCCCTTGCGTATCATCCCTTCATCATTCTGTGAGAACCTGTCCTATGGGCAGGTGAGAAGGCATCTCTGCCTGTTCATTTGGTGAAGTAAAATAAACAACAACAACAACAAAAACAACAACCCCAGACAAATGTGCCTTTATGAACTCTTTAGTACTGACTATCGACTGCATTTTCGTTGAATGGCATGACAAACACACAAAAATCGGAAAATGAGTAGGGGCGGCACTTTTTCACAGGGCGGGGGGAGGGGGGTGCAAACAGAGTAGTAAGGGGCCCTGCCTCCCCCCCCCCCCCCTCCCCCCACTTTGGCTAGAACCATGCCACAAATATAATAATTTTCCGTAGAAAGTGTTCATGACATGCATTTATATGTGGACAGTCCTCAACTAGCTCTCCGATGTTGTGCCGACTATGTCTTCTTCACAGATTCTACCTGAACAGATGCTCATCAATTATGTTCTTGTCCTCTATCCTAGTCCAAATCCTGCCTTGCCCATGCATGACTCTCATGAAATACCCGTACTAAATAGTCTATAGAACAAGAATATTGGATATCATACTTCTCTCATCAACTATGATAATACCCATTTCATACCCCCCCCCCTTCATAAAATTAATACCTACTGTTTTCTTTCCTTTCATTTCATCTTCTTTTCCGTTCCTTTCTTCTTCATACACATTTTAAACATTTTCATCATTATTGTGAGAGCCGTGGGCCAATAGCCCCGGTGAGAAGGCAGTCTTGCCTGTTCATATGGTGAAGTAAAATAAAGAAACAACAACAACAGTGGAACCAACATGGCCGAGATTATATTATTAAAAAATTATTATGATCCATAGATGCAACATGGCTGTCCAGCAGGGTCATGTGATGCACGTCAAATCACTCTCTATGAAGTGTGAGTTATTGGTCTGGTTTCGCCTTGGACACCTGACCCTTAGATGTAGTCACGTGACAAAGATGTGAAGTCACTCAGTATCCGTTGCATGTACTGATACGAGCTGTGTGTGTGTGTGTGTGTGTGTGTGTGTGTGTGTGTATGTGCGTGTGTGTATGTGTGTGTGTGTGTGTGTGTGTGTTTTCACGTCTGTTCTCCATCACCGTGGTGATTGCGGCGACGCTATGCAGAGGGTCGAAGATGTCCTTGAACAGCACATACGACAGGGCCCTGATCGCCACCACGTACGCCAGCTGCGGGCTATCCATGAGCGGTCTCCTAGTAACCCTTGTTACCATAGCAATACAGAGGTAAGCCCAGCGATATGGACCAAGTGAACGAAATCAGGGTTCTGAATTTGCAAATCGTATCAAGGCTCCGCTGGCCCCAAACCAACATACACGTACCTGTACATACTCCAAATCCGCTAGTCCTCCAAAACGAGTGATTGCCAAGGCTCGTTCGCCGAAGTGCGTTTGCCGGTGAATTCATCGCTGACGTGATGGTAGCGGAAAAGCCATTTTAGATATTGTAGCAACTTTCGCTTGCATGGGAACACACGTGCATGCACACAGTCACACATGCACACACACACACACACACACACACACACACACGAGTGCGCGTGCACACACACACACACACGCGCACACACACACACACACGAGCGCGCGTGCATACACACACACGCGCACACATACACACACACACACACACACACACACACGAGCACGCGTGCACACACACACGTGCGCGCGTGCGTGCACACGCACACACCGCACACACACACGCACACAGCACGCACGCGCGCACACACACACACACACTTGTACACATACAGGCAATTGTGCTTACAGTTCTATAATCAGGGGCATGGCTGGTGCCCCTTTTAAGGGGGTGCACCCCCCCCCCCCCCCCTCGCCATGTCTAGCGTGGCTGGTGCATGTCATTCATGGGCAGTATGTATATGCTTAACCTGGGTCGAAATTTTTAGGGGGGGGGGTGAATGTGCCCCCTGAGCCCCATGCGGACTACACGCCTGTATGATGATGGTCTTCGTAAATAATATATACTTTTGAAGTAATTATAATATAATATTAATATTATAATTCAAAGGATCAGTCGGGGAAGTGAACTGCCTGAAAAGAGAAAAAAACGCCAGACCCACCAGGAATCGAACCTGGGACCCTGCTTGTCATGAGCAATGCTCTAACCACTGAGCTATGGGACCAGGCTGAACCTAGAAGGCGCTGACAAGTTTTTCACTCCAAAGGCAGCTCACAACACGTGCCACACATACTGATGGCACGTTTTTTCTCTTTTCAGGCAGTTCACTTCCCCGACTGATCCTTTGAATATGAAGTTCTCCCAATCCTTTCCAAATATTATAATTATTAATATTAATACGAAATAGTGGTTGCGACTTCGGCGATGATTTGTAAGAAAGGTTTGCTCCCCACACCGGAGCTCGCGCTAGTAAAGTCGGCGGAATAGCGCGAGCTCCGGTGTGGGGAGCAAACCTTTCTTATTAATATTAATATTAATTAAAAAGCTTCCGTGGAGATAAAAATGTAATCAACGCAATAAATAGAGTAAGCTGCGCACTCAGTACAAACACCATAAGCAAAACTTGTTTTCATGTAAATAAAGAAGCTTGTTCCTAAACGTTTTCGTCGCCATCTCATCAGAGGATTACTGACAAATCAACAAAAGCTCTTAACTCAATATATATACGCACAATGCAAGTAATAATTTAGACCCTAACTAGCGCGATAAAATGAGAGCTGAAAGAAACATTACACCATTCAACGATATCAGGTGACAACAGATGCGATAAATTCACCACTAGAAAGTTACCATGCAACCACAAACGAGAACTACTGATCTAAATTCACAAACAATTTCAACGTAAACAAATTCTTTTTCTGCCTACACAAAATCGGCTTGGTGGTAAAATGTAAATAGACTCCAATACACGCAAATACCTTTGACTACGTGAACGAGACCAAACAGAAAAGCAATCATCAGCATAACTAGAACGACAATCACTATTCTGAACAAGATGGTTGGCGATAGAAGATTCATACACCCTAACAACGCTACTAGAACCAGTACATACTTTGGAATTACGTGACAATGAAACCGACCTGACATTCCTTGCCGCTACTGCCAATCCAGACGAGGCCGATGTAGATGTCCGTACCAAAGGCACGTCCGTTACTGGCACTGCCTGCTGCGATGATGCTCCCTTTGACGGTCCAATGGCTGTTGATGTTGATGAAGAGGAGGAGGGAGATGAGGAAGACGCTGACGACGACGATGACGACAACGACGGAGACGATAAAGACTCTGCTAACCTCGCCCTAGAGCGAGTCACTGGTCCCGCAGACACACCATCCGGTGGTTTCTTCGGTGGCTGGCCACGCTTTTTGCCACCGGAGGTGGACACACCGGATGACGGTACAAAGGAAGTCAATTAAAGAATCATTTTATCGCGCTAGTTAGGGTCTAAATTATTACTTGCATTGTGCGTATATATATTGAGTTAAGAGCTTTTGTTGATTTGCCAGTAATCCTCTGATGAGATGGCGACGAAAACGTTTAGGAACAAGCTTCTTGATTTACATGAAAACAAGTTTTGCTTATGGTGTTTGTACTGAGTGCGCAGCTTACTCTATTTATTGCGTTGATTAATATTAATATTATAATTATAATTATATAAAGTGCTAAAAAGCTGCGCATGCGTGTGATTTTCCTCCAACCCTGCAGGAAGTTGCGCGAGTCGACGCACCAGAAGCTGATGTTTGGCCTGTCGCTGACGCTCTTGATCAGCCTGCTCCTGTTCCTGCCAGCCGGCGACCTGGGAGTCGTGCAGCCGCACCACACTCCGGACAACCCGCCGCTAGGGTGCTCGGTGTTAGCGCTGTTCCTACACTATCTACTGCTCTGCTCTTTTCTGTGGTCGTGTGCGGACGCCACGCAGCTGTGCCAGAATATCTCCAATAGCCTACTGGGAAAAAAGGCAGATTTCAACTTCAGTGGGACATTTTGGCTTGTCTTGGGTAAGGGAAGATTGGTGTGTTCCGATGCATGCGAAAGAGTCGGTCTTTTTTTGAACTTTGGTGATTGTCGTGCAAGCTGTGATCATTCGGCCGTGCACCGGGGACGTTTTGCACGACGCCGTGCCGTGCTGTGCATGTGTGTGTGTGTGTGTGTGTGTGTGTGTGTGTGTGTGTTTGTGTGCGTGCATGCGTGTGTGTGGCTGCTTGAAGGTGTAATGTTGTACCTGCCACCTTTGTTGGTTCCAGGGTTCATATATTTTCTATTTGAAGTATACATACCTGTTAACCATGAACTGCTTCTGGCTAGATTACCTCTTGTGTAATCAAAGTGAAGCTTATATCAGATCCCCTCTGATTTAGCCACCCACACTAGTAGCAAGTATTACCTTCACTGGGGGCAGGGGTAACTGCAGTTGGATCCCAGGACGGATACCCTGATGCCGTCCATCCTTTTTCTGCACCTTGTCCTCACCCACTTACTGAGGTGTGGTGAGCCCATAAGTGGGATCATTTTCAAGTCCACCCAGAGTTTCGGGGATTTAATTTAAGGGGGCGTCGGCCGTTGGGCGGTTCAATCGCCAATTGAGTCATCTTTCCAAGATTCCTTTTGATTCTCTCTCCCCTCTCCCGGGGAGACCCACGTGACCAGTTTTGGCAGTGAGCAACAAGTACAAGTGTGTGTGTGTGTGTGTGTGTGTGTGTGTGTGTGTGTGTGTGTGTGTGTGTGTGTGTGTGTGAGTGAGTGAGTGAGTGAGAGAGGTGATCATTGATCTGCTCCACTGCTGTTGTCCTGTACTCCAGGCACTCCGCTGCTGATTGTGACCATCACGGCCATTGCGACGGACATGATGGCGTATGGCAAGCCAGAGGGAGGCATTTAGTGAGTACCCGGACCAGAGCTATTACAGATATTTAGTGATTTTATTTTATTACCGTCTGCACTTGATGGCACATACTGAAAATAGCCAATACAAAGAAGTGAGGATGAAACCAACCACGGACTGAGGGCAAAAATGCAAATTAAAGAGAGAGAAAAAGAAAAAAGAAAGAAAAAAAAGAAAAATGTTTGCAGGCAAAATTGTTACACCATATTCCCAGGAGTAGAAGGCGAGCCGAAAATTTCTCTTCATTTAATATTACAGGCACTTACCCTGTATTTCATGATTCCGTTGACCATCGTAGTAAAAGGCGTACCCAATATTTTTAGGGTGAATTACCGATACTTAGAAAGTGTGGCTTATACTCCGGCGAGTACTGTATAAGCAGAACTATTCGTCTGGAATTTAATTTCGTCTTTTTCCTCCAAGGAACTTTTGGACTAAATTATCAAGTGCCGGACTAATGTCAATTTGTCCAACTTTTCTATGCACTATATTGATCCATGAACGAAATTTTCAACCAAACGAACTCCCTTTCTTAGGAGTTGGACGAAATTATTGACCGACGAAATTTTCTGCCTTTACAGCAGTCCTGAAAGTGTACAAATTTTCGACCCGTTCGAATTTCGGCCTCCCAGGGCTAAAACACATTTCGGCTGCAACACATTTTCGCCCCGTACTGCTGCTGGGTGTATACACTGCCACACGGAATCTTGCGAAATAGAATTTCGCCTGCAACACATTTTTGGCCGAATACAATCGGGCCGAAAATAGCCGAAAAGTAAATATGCACCGAACATTTAATGACGTACAGTGCATGTTTTTGTGCAGTGCTGCGCAGTGAAATCCAATCCAGTAAGTCAATTTAGCGCCCTGCACCACTTAACAGCACTGTGCTGTAGTACAGTCCATTCATTGGAAACTTGCACCCTAACTTTTTGGTGTCTCCCACACATAGTTGTAGATATCGTGAAGACAACACAGTACATCCTGCATTGGGTGACCCGTGCAATTACTCCTTGCCACATCTGAGGCCAGAAAAGTCCAAGAACAGGGAAATAGAAATTCAGCCAAATTTTGCAAAATTAGGACAGGTATGCCATGGCAAAAATGTATGGAGAAGCAGATCCCAAACCCAGATTTTTGAGATTTAAAGTGGGTTTTTGATCCTCAATTCGACCCAAATCCGACTTTTAAAACCCAGCGGGACTATTTCCGATGAATGGACTGTATGTAGTGGTGGAGCAAAATTCACTATTAAATATATTTTACCAGACAAGCCCGCATCTAGACACGGAGCCATACAAGACCGTGACGTGGATGTGGCTGTACATCTCGTACTGTGTATAGGTACATAGACACATGCATGCCATTGTATCAGTTGCAGTGATGCGCCGGTCGTGCGTGCAGTGATAAAATCATAGAAAACAAGAGAGTCCAGTGTGGGGAGCACACCCGTTCTTAGAAAACAAGAGAGTGCGCTATATACAGTCAGACCTCGCTTATCCGGTCCTCGTTTATCCGGATCCCTCGCCATCTGGAAGAAAAAAGCTGGTTACATATTTACAGCATACGTGATGCATCCAACAGAAAAAGGTGTTCGGTTATCCGGTTCCCTCGCCTATCCGGATATTTTTTTGGAAAACGGATGTGTGTGGTTAAGCGAGGTCTGACTGTACAGCGAATACAGACTGTAGTTGTGTACATGTATATGGCTCGTTGGTCTTGTTTATTTTCTCTCAGCTGCTGGATCAAGGATTGGCGTATGTTCTACGCAGCCTTTGTGCTGCCAGTCTCCGCCTGTATCCTGTACAACATGGCCATGTTGATACCCGTCATGCGCTTCCTCCATCAGCAGAGCCGGAAGCGGCTGACGCCGGCCATGGAGGCGGAGCGCGGCCAGCAGATGGCGCTGTTCCGCGTAGCGCTCTCGCTGGCCATGTTCCACGCCATGGTGTGGGCGTTCGGCCTGCTGGCCGTGCTCATCGACCAGACGACGATGCACTTCACGCTGATGCTGCTGACCGCGCTACAGGCGCTCACCATCTGCGTTAACACGCTCTGCTCGCAGGGCGTGATGGCCGACTGGATGGAGCTGGTGATGGCGTCGCACAGCACGAACAGCGCCACCACGGTCAGCAGCAGCACCACAACGGTCAACAGCAGCAGCACCGCGGTCAACAGCACCGCGTCCGATCACTCCTCCTCCTGCATGCCGCCCATACTCGCACGCCTGCTCAGTCGCACGCTCTCGGCGTCGTCGGCGACGACGCAGAGCGTCTCGCTGAGCGGCAGCCTGCAGCAGGTGCAGGTGCAAAAGTCGCAGAGCTGCCCGGGCGGCGCCAAGAGGGGCAGCCGCTCCACATCGCCGCTGCCGTACCCGGGCAGCAGCCTGCACAACATGGTCCAATGGCTGCCGCCCGTGACCCCGCAAGCGCTCGAGTTCGAAAATTCCTCCACGGCGCCGGATTCAAAGATGGCCGGCCAGCGTACAGCCGCTGTGGAGACTAAGGTTACGACTGAGAAGTCCCCGGACACTGCCGTATAGATCACGCTATCGATGGGAGACTGAATTCATCGGCAAACGTGTCTCGGCAAACGAGCCTTGGCAAACACGCGTGGCTGCAGGACTAGCGGAGTCTCCAACGATCTTTACACTACGGTCGAAACGTTCATATTCCACCAGCTGGCACTACGTTTAGAACTTTAGACCCTCACAGCTGTCCTTGTGAGCATCGCTCACAAGGACTCACGGGCCAGAAACATGCACAATCCAGGCATTGCTGGTAGCCCACAGGTGCCGTTCCGGGCTGCAGCTTCAAAGCTTTCGTACAACCGGGACTCTAATCGGACCCATGTTCCATTCCGTATCCCGATAAGGCTGCACTGCCAGAGCCGCCGCGCATGATGGCATTACGTCCGCCCTGAAGCAGGTAATTTCGAGTGTTTTCTTCCGACAACACCGCTCTCCTGTACAGGGGAAAAGAGATTCTTGAACGAGACTGCTAGAAAGTAGGCCAAGCCAACCCAGAACAGATCTGCAGCCGGAATCTCCCAAACCCTCACTAGATACAGGCAATTGTACTGCACACCCATTAGGATTTTTCATTGAGATGACATATACCGATTTATTTCTCTTTTTTTTCACTATCTCTCGCCCCCCCCCCCCCCTCCCCTCCCCTCCCCTTCACGCATACTCACACGGGTCCATACTAGGCTAGCTGTCGTTCTAACGTTTCATGTAGCATGGCAATTATTCGTCACCATTTCAGTGCACACTGGCCAGCCGTCTTTGCCCCATTTCCCCCGTGTTGTCACGGCGGAAGTTTTATTATAGCGTTTCATCGACTGCACGGACGGGCACATCGTTCCTGCGCGCGCATTTGTCCGGGCCATACTAGTGCTGTACTGTGCACCGCGGCTTGGCAGAGGCTGCTGGTACGCTCACGCCAGCACTGGAATAACGGCTGCATGGATATAATTATTATGCCAAGGAGTCGCCTGAGCGTTTGTAAATCCGAGTTTGTACAGCTCGCTAACATGGCTATCTGGATACGTGCACACACTGTGCGAACTATGACTAAGGATGTTTTGAGTTCTACATGTACATATAGGACACCAATGATGCCTTTTTTGTGCTTTTTAAGACTATGATTTCTCATATTATTCTTACCCTCTCATCACCAAGAGTTCCTTTGCCCCTTTGAAAACATGCTGTGGCCTGTACCCCACCAACTGGACGGGGCTGCTCATTCTTATCCCAGTTTGAAATCTCCCAAGATTGTCGCCAACTTCTTAGCGCCGTTCACGGAGTCGCAGTGGCACTGTATGACCTTGTGGCTCCCATTTTTTCACGCTGTGTCGACTTTTTATCATCACCAGAATAAAAACATTATTTGCATTGGCTAGAAGTATGAAAGTCAGCAGAAAAATCAAGTCTGTACCTGGGCCAGGGGCAGCCATTCTGCAGTTATTCAAGTAAGGTGTTTGAGATCTTGGACAAGCGGTAGCCGAGTAACGTCCATCGAAAGACTCCCATCTGGATACACGGCGGTGATATCTGGGCTGGGAAAGTCATTTTTTAACAGACAGCGTGCTCCATACAGTAATTAACGGTATATAATTCTGAGTTCATGGCCCAAGGTTCACGCGAACAGTTGCAAATTCCCCGGTTATTTCGCCGCAAATTATACCAACATTTTTCATGCACGCTTTTCACTGCAGCAGACTGCTGTTTGGTGCTGGGTCAGTAGGCCATTTTCATGCAGAATGTTTTAGACAGCCTAAACCATGACCAACGGAGTGGTGTTCACATCTTAGTCACGTGACTAACTTTGTGCAGGAATTAAGTGATCGTCTCGTGTGGACAGTGTTGTCTCCTTGGACCTTGGAAAAACACGTTTCTGCGGGCGCGGACGTTTTCGCAGAAATTGCAGAAAGTGCCGCAGATTTTTTTATTTCATTGCAGAAAATGCCTCAGAATAATCCCGTTTTCGCAATGGAACTTGCCACGGAATTTAGAATTCTTGCCCCGTTTTTTTCTCCAAAGGGACAGACAGTGGGAGCAACATAGCCGACACCATTGTGATCCACGGATCCGGGGGTTAAGTCAGTGGAGTTGTAAACAACATGGCCGACCAATATGGTCGTGTGCTAGATATGAAGCCATGATACTCTAAACCACCCAATGGTTGCGTCACTGAATTGTTGCGATCTCTCAGAACCAGCGAGTTTACGATGGCAAATGTTCGCGGAGCACTGTGGCCACACATAATGTACGCCCACTGTTGAAGTTTAGTTAACTTTTATTGATGCATGGTTAATGTTTGCGTTTATATATGCTCTTCTCGCAAAATTAGCTAACATTAATATATCGCAAACCTGACTTACATGAGGCAGTTTACAGTTTGCATGCACTGTCCCACCGGTTTATCTGGCGGCCTCATGTTGCACGGCGCTCATAATGCCCCGGCTGTACTTCAGAAGTATTACGGATCATGTCCGACGTACACATCTACAGTAGAACCTGACAAGACGACCACCTGTCCCAGAAGACCACTGCAGCCAGGTTCAGGGGATACTATTACTATTTCCAGTCGAATGACCCTGGATAAGGAGACCACCTGGTAACAGAGACCACATTTTGAAGGTCCCTCGAGCGGTCGTCACTGTAGATGTACAAATACAGTGATGTACTGGGGGCTGCAGGGTGACAGTTTTGCTTTTTGGGTCGGAGCTCAGCTCACCTAGTAGCACAACCGCGGTACGCAAAACGTTACACAAGAAGTACACTCCTACCTCGTTTACGCCTGGTGCTGTCCCAGTAACTTTGACATGTCCCGAAACTCTGAATCGCATGTGTATTGCTGGAGAACGGGGCGACATAGCATAATTATGATGTCACTATTTCCACAAACGTGACAAAAGAGTAGTAACATTTCCACTTGTCAAATTGAACTCGCCCAAAAGGGTGCCCGGTGGACTTCAGTGACCGTAACGTTGGTGTCCGGATCACTAGGATGTGAATGAACGTGAAAGGTCACGTATTAGCACCAGACTTATTCCAGCAGATGCAAATGCCAGTGCTAGGCTTCTACTAGAAGTTCAGAACCAGGTACAGTAAAACCTGTCAAGGCGACCACCTGTCCCAGGGGACCACTGCAACCGGGAACAAGGGATGCTATCTCCAGTCAAATGACCCTGGATAAGAAGACCACCTGTACCCAGCGACCACGTTTCGCAGGTCCCTTGAGCGGTCGGTCGCCTTAGACAGGTTTCACTGTATTTTGGCTATCTATGTGGCTTGTCCACCCTGCAACCATGCTTCTGTGCCGATAGTGTATCTTGAAAACCAGGCTTGTGTGCGAAGCTGGCTCCGATACAAGACACTGCGGTACATGAAATGCACCGAGCCACGGGATTGACCGACGCGAAATACAAGAATAGGCAATATATTTTAATTAATGATAAGGCCACCCTTTCTTTTTTCGTTGTTTGACGTCCGCGCCCGCGTACCTTTTTGCCTCCGACCGGAAAAAAAAACAAGAAAGTAGTAGTACCAATAATATGCGAAGTTGTAAATACATGATTGTGTAGTTTCACAGTGTGCCGATCATGACCTTAAACTTATAATCTTGCCTCCCGGGCATGCCTTTGTCTTGTGTTCTTTTTCTTTTTTTGTTGGTTTTTAAATATCGTACGGTGTGTGTCCTAGTAAAAATCCAGATGTAATGAATTCATGACATGCTAACTCCATGCTATGTACCTGTTTTGTTGGATTCATCAGGCATGTGCTCCAATGTACCATCAAAGAGTGTTGTTCTATGCCTGCAAGTGCCGTTAGACCCAGACATATTGTATATATCACATGCTTTACTGGTCAAAATGTTTGATTGGGGTTTCCAGTTTTCGGAATGGGCTTTTGTTTTTTTTCCGCCCTCCCGCGTACCTTTTCGCGGAAAAAAAGGACGTTAAACAATGAATTAACAAAGGGTGGCCTAATATCGAAGATTGGAAGATAGAGTACGTTATACGTTTGTTAGATTATGCTGTTCGCCCCTCCACACGGCTATTATACTGCAGAAAGCTATGCATCCACAGTAACACTATAGTAGTGAACACATCCGTATCCATACGAGATTGGATCCAGCATACAAACTGAGACGGCATTTGCCAGCAGAATAAATAGAGGGAAGCTTTCCCTGGGAATAAGGAAATTGATTACGCGTAGAATTTTGGGATTCTGATCTAAATTGGCTTTCGCACAAGCGATAACATTGTTTATATCATCTCGCATACACATATACACATGCTCTCTCTCTCTCTCTCTCTCTCTCTCTCTCTCTCTCTCTCTCTCTCTCTCTCTCTCTCTCTCTCTCTCTCTCTCTCACACACACACACACACACACACACTCCCTGTGCCCAGCGAGTTTAATTTTCGACTGGTCAGCTGAAAAAACCAAGACAGCAGCGGCGGCACAGCCCACCCTAGTCATCCAGAATCCAACACATGTTGCACAACAGGCACAGCATGCCCGAGAATATACTCACAGAACCTGCACTATTTGCCGTCACCACTGGTTCCCTGGACTGGTCATGGTCGGACGAGGATAGGATCAGGGCACGTCTCCGCGGCAATTCTCTATCTCGTCCAGCACCGCCTTGGCAACCAGCAGGGCCGAGTTACGCGCCGAGATGGCCGACATCTCCATGGCGCTGGACGCCCACTCGATTCCGCCGCCGTACACCAGCCGCGGCGCAAGCTGCAGCGGGCCAAGCGGGTCCGGCGCCGTGAAGTGAGGATAGGCAAAGTCAAACGTGTGCTGGACGGTCGCCTCGCGCGCTGGAAACGCCAGGTCCAGGAACTCGGCGCCGAGCGGCTCGGTGGACTGGACCTTCCAGACGGGCTTTCCGGCAGTGGCCATGCCGTCCACGGGCGGGGTGTTCTCGATGACGCTCACTGGCAGTCCGTTACCCGCCGGCATGGCAAACAGCCAGGGAGCGGTGACACCCTCTGCGTCCAGCCCAAAGTACGTCAGGTTGGCGTCGCCCTTGACGAGCGTCACCGTTGTCGTCTGCCCTCGGCCGGGGTTCAGCGGCGGCAGCGCCTGCGCAAAGCCGGAGAGCTCCATCGCGCTCGCGTTCAGCGGCATGGCGAGCACTACGTGGTCAAACACGCCGGTGCCCTCGGCCCCGTGGTCCGTGACCGCCGTCACCGAGAGGCTCGACGCGTTCGCGCCGGAGATCCGCGTCACGCGCGTTCCCAGGTGCAGGGTGACCCCCTGCGTGGTGTTGAGCAGGCGCTCGCAGAGCCGCTCGTTGCCGCCCAGCACGCTCCAGTACTTGTCGTTGGCGGACCGCGCCAGCGCCGTCATTCCCGACAGGGCCGTCATCACTCGTCCGTCCTGGTTGTACACCGCGTTGGCCGTGGCCGACACCAGCTCGTTGACAAGCCGCTCTGGAATGCCGCTGGCGTTCAGGTAGTCGGCAAAGCCCTGCGACGCGAGCTGCGTGAAGTTGGTGCGCATGGCTCCCAGAAGGTCGTGCAGCGTGGTGAAGCTCATCGGCGGGTCCTGTGATTGCAGGCGATAGATGTCGGTGAACTCGTTGAACAGGTACCCGAGCAGAAGATCGAGATTGACCACGTCAAGGCCATAGCGCTCCAGCAGAAAGAAGTCCTCGGACCAGGAATGCGTAGCGTCGCCGAGTGGGACGTACTGCCCGGGTCCCAGAACTAGACCAAAGTCACCGGTCGCAGCTGGTAGCTTCTCCAGACCTGTGTGTGTGTGTGTGTGCGTGTGTGTGCACGTGTGTATGTGTGTGCGTGTGTGTGTGTATGTGCGCGTGTGCGTGTATGTGTGTGTGTATGTGTGTGTGTGTGAAGGACGGGCAGATAGACAGACAGACGGACGGACAAACAGTTGGACAAACGGGCATATAGACAGACGGACGGACAAACAGTAGGACGGACAGACAGATAGACGCATGGACGGATAGAGACGGACGGACGGACAGACAAACAGTAAGACGGACGGACAAATGGACGGGTGGACACGTTTGACAGATAGAGGAAGACAGAATGCAGGTGAAAAAAAAAGAAGGATCAAGATCTCCAGCTGTGGATAGGGGTAAATCCGAAAGAATGAACACTTCATGAGCTGGGCTCGAGCAGCAGGTGGTCAGACTCAGGTCAGTGGTGGCCGCGTGATACAGCATACTGCATGGCATTGTATTCAATTATTGCTGGTGCATTTCATTCGGGTGCTCGAGTAGGTCAAATTTCAACCGTTGGCTACCCACCTTGAACTTGGATTGGGTTTGGTTAAATCTACGCTTTGCGCCCATTGGCGAGATAGGCAGACAGACAGACTCCACGTCCAAAGTCATGCCCCCCCCCCCCCCCCCCCCTCTTTCACTCTCTCTGTCTGTCTGTCTCTCTCTCCGTCCCTCTGTCTGTCTCTCTCTTTTGGAAAATAACCGCGGCACTTCAATAGGTCATAATTATGCATGGCGTTGTCAGGCAACTTGGCCTATCAGCGAATGCACCGCCGCATGCTGTAGCCGTAGTGCGAGCGCGCCCCTAATACGGGGGCCAAATTCAGGAAACCCTATGTAGCATAAGGCGCCAGGCATTCAAGGACCAATGAAAAAACCCGTTCGGTAAGTGTGCTTCGAAAGGCCATACAGGTCATAGTATGCACACGTGACTATAGCTGCTTTTTCCCATTTGAAGGTGTTGCATTCCTGGTTTTCCTTCTTGTTCTCACATTTTATTGAGCTTGGATATAGATTATGCGTCCAGTACTAGCGCACGCTAACATCTTACCGACTGCGTATGTCAGATCTGAAATGTATTGGTTTTTGGGATGAGCCACGGCGGCTCCAACTTCAAACGACTGCCCGCCGATAACCATGGAGCGAAGTCGGCCACACACTCTATCGCTCTGGTCGTACACGTGGATATCCACTGCTGCCCCAGAACCCTTCAGCACCTTGTCCAGCTCCTGTCGAACGTAGTACGCCGTCGCGCTGCCCCCGATGCCCGCACCGACGATCGCGAGGCGAATGGGAGCGGCGGCGCTGTCTCTGCATCCGCCATTTCGCTGCCGCTGTTGGTTTGCCTCAGCGGTCTGGCCATCATTGCCAGCATGAGCGACTCCCGAGGTGTAGCAGTTGGCTAGGATCAGCGCCGCAACAGTTATCGCTACCCGCATCAAAACCATCTTGAAGTCACTATTTCCAATGGCGGCATCGCCAAATACAGGACCGTAGGCTATGAGTATGAATTCGTCGACAAGTCGACCATGCTTTTAGCCCAGGACCTACCGGGCCGATAGCTTTGCCTATCTTGAATCTGTCTTCGCATGTCTTTGCTTTTTGAGTTCATGTTCTCAGACTGAGTGAATGAGGGTGAAACACCTACCGATGTCTTTGTCAGTGTTTTCAAAAATATCGTACCTATCATGTATCGCGCGTGGAAAAGCAAGGAGAATGTCACGATCCCTGAAAATAATGACGTCTGGGTAGATTCCAGTCAAAATAGGTAAGGGGAACTTACCGGTATACCAGGGATCGTCACGAACTCGCACTGAGACTTCGCACAGAAACCCTTAGAAATAAGAGAAAACCGCCAAAAAAAAGTAAAGGTGATCCGCGAGACGGAAAACACCCCACTTGGCGGTTTTCTCTTATTTCTAAGGGTTTCTGTGCGAAGTCTCAGTGCGAGTTCGTGACGATCCCTGGTAAGTTCCCCTATTTTGACTGGAATCTCTGACTAAATGCCGACTTTTCTCTCCCAAACCGGTCGAAATAGGAGTTATAGCTCTCTATGTGGTCACAGAACTCTCATGCATGGGCATGATGTCTTTCCCGCGAAGAAAAAAAGTTACAGTAGTTCGCGTTCTGCTGACGTTTCGATCCGTGCACATACATGCTGAGTCCATGCAGTACACTGAACTGTACAGTGCTATGTTGTAGTGAGGCGCATCAGTAGTACATGACTTGCTGTGTGTGCAGTGGTTTTTTTTAGACGGGAACGAGAACAAGACCTTGCAGTAGAGAGCAATGGCGACAACAAAGACGACAGGAGCTGCGAGTTGTGATTCAAATTTGAGCGGGAGAACATGGCTGAGGGTAAAGCGAAAGCGGACAGACGAGACGGTGGATGCCTTAGGTAAAGAGAAGACGTCAGAATGGTGTCTCACTTCAGATGGACGGATATCCTGAGACCAGGCGTTCGAATTGACTGCTGCTCTGCCTGTGTGTCAATATTTTGTAGTGGTAGGTCAGCTGAACAAGAAAGCACGGACCGTCGCCGAAGGTCCTGCCCCAGGTATGTTCACTTGTCTTGTTGTGGCATGGAATTATATGTTGCAGTCCGTAACATTTTGTGTTGTGGAAGGAAACTGCAGCTGATCGTCATTTATCTGCTCGTGGCAGTGCTAAAATCAATTTCCCTTTGTGTGTTCTCACGATATTTCAATGGCGTCTCTCAAGGCAGAGAGGGTAACGAGCTAGCTTTGTAGCTGGTTGGCGTACTGATTTGATGGGGCTAGTATCGCTAGACTCCTCCAAGCAGAATAATTTGCAAGGCTGGTTTATTGTTGCATGGCGTTGGGCTTGTTCGCGTTTCCATTCATCCTACAATTTCTTCGTGTGTTCTCTATTCTGTGACATGGCCAACGTTTGTTTCTGGTCAAGGATGGGGCGGGCGATGTCTGGCGACAGCTCAGAGAGATCTATTGCCGTATTGGGCTTTCTAATCAACCTACGATCACTTCGTTCCATAAATATATTATTCTTTGTACAGTGTATCTATTCTTGGTCCACGTGCCGTTCAGTTTGAATTTGAAAACTGACATTGAAATTTTTATTCATTCACTTTGTCGCATTGTATTGTTTCGTCTTTTGATACTGCTGGCACATGCCTTTCAAACATGATTGTGACTTCTCTCCCTTTCTACGTCTTCTTTTATTGTTTGCACTGTAGCTAACATCACGTTTCGGTTCGCCGCTACAGTCTCGGACACCGCTGCGATTCCTGGTGATGTTCTGGTAAGTGAAGTACCGTAATCCGCCCTTGGCCTAATGCCTTTCTTGCTTTTCCGGACAGCGTCTCGTCTGTAGTGTGTCTTACTGTAAGCCTTTGTCGGTGAAACGTATTCGTAGTGCTTGCAGCGGAATGGTTTAGACGTGACGCGTGGTGTTCGCTTGTTACGTAGCAGCTTTGTTGGAAAACGTCTTGAGGTAATTTCGTGTTAGGCGTGTCCATCATCGCTCTGCGAGATCCCAGCCTGCCAGTGTTTTCCTGGCGTAACTGCAATGTAGTACAATCACGTGCGTCTCCTAGTGATTGGCTTGGGACTTTGTAGCAGAAGAGGCCATACCTGTGTTGCGATCCTGGGAGTTCTGTGTCCTTTGGCAACTGGCTGCTTCAAATCTGCGATGATGCTTGCTTGATGTGTTGATCTGGTTCTTCCACGTATGCCAGTGCTGCTAAGTAATTAGTTACTAGTACTGTGCATTTTGAAGTTTCATTTGTTTGGGATGGCAATGTGCCAGTTGTAGCCTGGCACTGACTGTGATGATCTGGTCTGATGTGGGCACTTGCCCTGCATGTTCATTACAGTGACATGTGAGGCCTTTGCCAAGAATGTGTGTGTGTGTGTGTGTGTGTGTGTGTTTGTGTGTGTGTGTGTGTGTTTGTGTGTGTGTGTGTGTGTGTGTGTGGCCTCCTGTCCTTGTGGAAATAATTATGCGTTTCAAGAATCATCAATATCATTATTGCTGGGAAAGCCCCAAGCCGCTTTGCTCAGTGTTTACGCCACGCTGACGTCTGTGTTGGAATGCTCTCAGTCGCACCGCTTGCAGCATGATTGTGTGTGTTGTGGTGGGGGGGGGGGAGAGTGCTGAGTGTGATGTTACTGTCATCCCCTGGCCTGTCTACATCCCTCTGCCACCATGGTGGTGTGGCCTGGGGTGTCCGGAAAAGATTCGGCCTGCAGACAGGCTAGCATCCCTACTCCTTGCGATGCTTATTGAGTTCTGCGTGTGTGTGCGTGCGTGTGTAACTCCAATTTCACTTCTGTGGGTGCACATCCAGCGCATTTGCTTACCTGTGTGCTTCTCTCGCGACGGGTGTATACATGGTACATGGTGTGTGTGGTGAAGGCTGGACAGTTGGCACCTGTATCAGCTCACTTCTTTGCATCTCATCGCAGTCCTCATCTGCTGCTTCTCCAGGTTATAAATGTTGTGTAGGTGATATGGCTGCTCCTGCTCTCTATGCTGCTATGGATGTGAGGGCGTTGAGAAAGTGTTGTACCCTGGGTTGATGTATGCTGGCAGTAGAGATCTCCAATGAGTTCAGGTCATCAGGCCACTGTCTTACTTCCTGCAGATGGGCTTTCCATTCCTGGTCCTGACATTAGGAATAGCTCCGGCCTTTCCCCAGCCTTGCCCTGGAAGAGCAGTAGGCTGGGCTGTCTGCAATGCATGATCTGCAATGTTGGACCAGTGCAAAGGGGGCCATTTTTCTCATTCCAATGCTTGATGATGTGCCAGGCTGGCTTGTACTAACTGAGACTTAGTGGTAACTCTTACATTAGCTCTAATTGCTCAGGTATGTGCGTGCACTGAACTGTGTGTGTGGCAGAGGAGGGCCTCTTCAGGCGTATTGACAGTAATTGATCAATGGCTCTTGAGAGGCTACTGGGGGTAATCATGGACATGTGCACTGGGGGCTGTCTGATTCTAGCGCCCGCTGCTGCTGCTGATAGTGCTGCTTCAAGTAGTCAGCATACTTGCCTGCTGTGTGTTGGTAAGATAGTCTTAGCTCTTGGTTGTGTTTTGTAACTCTCCAGGTCTTGCACATAATTACATGACTAACCATTGGGGGCTTTCTCTGGGCACGCGGTGGTTGTTGGGTGCTTGATTCTGAATCTTGCCTGCCAGGGGATTGTAAGAGTGGTGTGCAGTTTTTCAAGTGAGACGTTAGTTATCTGTCTTGTCCAGAGACACCTGTGTCGTGTCACTTATTTCAGTGCCAGTGTTACCAAGCACTTACCCGTGCTTTTGGTACTGACCTGTGTGCCATTTTGGGGAATCTTTTTTCGGATTTTCGTTCTTATAGCACCTTAGACACAATTTTACTGGGTCACATGTCCACACCATTACATGCGTATGTATCACAAAAGCTGCCGGAAAACTAACACCACCGTTTGTAACTCAAGCTCCTTGCATTCGTAGTATTGCAGGTTGGTGTTCTTGGGCTCTACGTTCTTCGGAGATCGACTCTTCTGTATGCAGAGGTCTAGGCATAGTACTGCTTCAACAGTACTGGGTAGACGGAAGTTGAGTGAGTTCAGAGTTTCAGCAGAATAACGGCACTGGATCGCCTCCAGGACATGGTCATCACAAACAGTGAAGCAGGGAAGCAGTTTGGTATAAAGTAACCCGGATATATCATAGAGTGAAGCAAGCCTCTCTGAGCCGACCGCTCAAGAGACCTTCAAAATGTGGCCGCTTTGTACAGGTCTTCTCCTCATCCAGGATCATATCGGTAGGAATTACATCCCTTGGCTGTAGTGGTCCTCCGGGACAGGTGGTCGCCTTTTCGGAGTGGTTGCCTTGACAGGTTTCTCTGTGCTATGGGGTATGGCACAATATCTTTGACAACCCTGTACAGTCAGACCTCGCTTATCCGGTCCTCTTTTATCCGGACCCCTCGCCATCCGGACGAAAATCGTTGGTTACCGATTTACAGCATATGTCATGCATACACACAGTATGTGTGTTCGATTATCCGTTTCCCTCGCCTATCCGGATATTTTTGTGCAAAACGGATGTGTGCGGTTATGCGAGGTCTGGCTGTAGTATGCTATACTCGTCATGTGACCTCCAATATACAGTACATCTATACTCGTCATGTGACCTCCAGTATACTGTACAAAGTGTACATCTATACTCGTCATGTGACCTCCAGTATACTGTACATTTACATCTATACTCGTCATGTGACCTCCAGTATACTGTACATTTACATCTATACTCGTCATGTGACCTTCAGTATACAGTACAGTCAACTTCGCTAATAACGACTGCGGATATAACGACAATTCGCGAATAACGACCGAATTTCCATGCCCAGAGCAAAGTCCCATCTAACTGTATACATTTAACTTCGGATATAACGACTATCTGAATAACGACAATTCGCATATAGCGACATGCTTTTAGTGCCCCGAGGTCATATTCACTGCTTGAATAACGACTTTCTGGGCTTTTGACAGCTATTTCAAGTACCTGTCAGTCAAGTACATGTACCGTAAAGTACCGTTGATCCGCCCCCTCTCTAATTCCCGCCCCCTGTCGATTTTCTCCTTGTGAAGCGACTTCGGCGTATACAACGAAATACGATGTTGAACCGACGCATACACTGCTGTACACAATACTTGCCAATCCAGGATCAAAATGTGCACAATCCAGCACATTGAGACTGATCCTCTACGTTGTTATACATCGTACTGCACTTGACAGCCTTGATCTAATTCCCGCCCCCTGCCGAAAACCCAGCTGGGAAGCGACATGGCGTGGGGGCGGATCAACGGTACTTTACGGTACCTGTCATGCAGAAGTACCAGAACCTATGGTGATGGATATTATTCATAATTAATAATTATTATAAAGGCACACATGCAAGAAAATGCAGCCAAGGGGGAGGGGGCTTTTTCTTCCTTTTTTATGTTGGCTTCAAAATTGTTGGATTTACCAGCACACCTATATGTATACAATGTACATGTAGTGGTACATGATTGTACAGTAATCATCATACATGTACATGACTGTACATGTCTCTGGCCCTGTATCTACTGTATCAAAAAGGCATAATATTATTATTAATTTTTTCAATTAATTTCCCTTGCATATTGAATTTTTAGTTCCTTTCAACTGCAATATGAAAATAAAGTACACATTGACATAGAGCAAGAAAAGAGCTTGATTTTGATATGCATGTCATACTATACAAAATATGGGTTCACATACATTCAAATGGGACTTCGGTTATAAGGACACTTCGCGAATAAGGACACTTTTCTGATGCCCCGCCGAATGTCGTTATTGGCGAAGTTGACTGTACCTCTATACTCGTCATGTGACCTCCAGCATTCAGTACCTCTATACTCGTCATGTGACCTCCAGTATACAGTACCTCAGCCATAAAGTATAGATTTCGCGGCCCAGTCCCTACAGTACTGTCGGTCACCGAAGAACTGGGGGTTCAGCCTCCTAGTGTAGACCGTTCTTATTTTCAAGTATTACAGTCTATGCACAGTTGAGTCACTGTGTATACATGGTATCAAGAGTACATAACCCCAAGAGTGTGCAACTGCCTGCACAACCTCTATGCTGTGCTGCGACGGCAGAACTTCACATCACATGACATGGTTCAAAAGGTTATGCTGGCAAACAGTGCAAAGTGACCACAAGAGAGTTGTACCCAAAGCTGGGCTGCGTACAACCCAGTATCTATCATGCACAGAGTGGTTCTGCCGTCGCAGACCCCATAGCTGGAGTTGCACACTCTTGGGGTTATGTACTCTTGATGGTATGCGGTGCTTGGTGAAATCCTAACCTGTTCCTTCTTCGGCGCTCCGTTCTTCCGCGCCCGGCAGTACCGTAAAGTACCGCTGATCCGCCCCCTGTCGATGTTCTACCTGTGAAGCGACTTCGGCGTATACAACGAAATACGATGTTGAACTGACGCATGAACTGCTGTACACAATATGTGCCAATCCAGGATGAAAATGTGCACAATCCAGCACATCAAGTCTGATCCTCTACGTTGTTGTACATCGTACTGCACTTGACAGCCTTGATCTAATCCCCGCCCCCTGTCGAAAATCCAGCTGGGAAGCGACGTGGGGGGGGGGGGGGGGGGGATCAACGGTACTTTACGGTACTGTAATCCGTAAAGTACTGATTTTATTTTACGGCCCTTTGAAGTCCATTGTACTTTATGCTGAAATTCCACAGTACATGTATTTATTTCTGGTGCAGTACGTGGCTTGAATAACGGCACTGTCGGCTACTGTGTGCATACACACCTGTACTTGTGCGGGTCATCAAGCTGGTGTGCTTATCCTGTCACCGCGGCGAATTGCTCTCATAATTTGTTGACATGGGGGTCTCA